TGTTTAGTATTGTCATGTGAAACGTGCCAATTATGAAAAAATTACTGATCCTAATTAACTTAAGTGTTTATAATAATAATGACAGCAAGAACAGACTAATAAAATCAATGTCATGTGCTTTATTGCTCTCTTTTCTCTCCTGTTGCCATTTTCACTTTCTATATTCAGTAAATTTTTTATCATCAGTGCCACCTGTTAATGAGATTAATGGGCCCGAGGCTATAATGAAAGAGAGTGAGTCTCTGCTCTCCCGCATCACACGCGCGCACACACAAACAGGCACAAGCACACATTACGCAGTTCATTGGGCTGCCTCGGTGTTTCACCTGGGAGGAGCTGCTAGATGTTTGAAATGAAATGACTCTCTCTCTGTTGTCTCTTTTTGTCTTTAGCTCTTTGGCAGAGAACTAGTGCCTGCGTCTGTGTCTATGTATGCGTGTGCGCGCGTGCTCATGTCCCTGTGTGTGTTGTTCATGCAAGTGTGTGTTTCAAGGATCAGAGGTGGGAGTGAAAGCGAGGCTGTGTCCCCTGAGGGAGAGCTGTCAGTCTGACAAACCTGACATTTGAGCTGTACTGCTGTGTGGCCACAAGTCATTTCACCTTTTCTAAATGAAAACACACACACAGCCCACTGACTCGCATACACCATGCCATGCCACAGAGGTGCAGCTGTATTTTTATGATTTACCTCCTCTTTGCTCTGTTGAATTGAGGTGAGAAATGGGAGCACAATTTGAAATGTGATTTATGATCATGTCAGCAGATCCATCTCACTTCAGTCCATTGATTTCGTTTAAGGCACATTTTGAGAGTGTGGACAGCGTTTATGTAACTTAAAGAAAGCTGAGTATGTGTCTTGTTCTTTTGTTTAAAGGTATCCAGTGATTCTCTCCATAGAGAACCACTGTAGCATCCAGCAGCAAAAGAAGATTGCACAGTACCTGCGAGAAATCTTTGCAGACAAACTGGACATAGGAGATGTACTGAGTGGAGACTGCAAAACATTACCCAGTCCTCACAGCCTGCAAGGCAAGATACTCATCAAAGTAAGAATAAGTCTAAAGTGGTTAGACGAATGGAAGATGGACTGACAGTGCATGCTTTAAATGAATGAATGTCTTACTGAATTCAAATATGACGTGTCAGTTAGTACACTTGTGAATAAATGCAACTGCATCAGCTCTCCTCTCACTTCAGTGAACAAAGTAGTGTGCTGATCATATGCCAATTTTACTTCATGTGCATGAGTTCAGAAGGTACTGCAAGGCCACTAACTATTTCCAATAAACAGATGAAGTGAAGGAAGAGGAGCAGGGAGTGGGAGAGGGTGTGGAAGTGGTGCAAAACTAGGTCAATGTATTAATCATAGGCAAGAAAGAGAGAAGAACGAGACGCTAGTATATGATGAGTGAGGCTTTAAGTTTTGTTATCTGCAAACACAAAAGTCTGCAGAACTGCTGAGCTCCAGTTTAATGATTAAATTATTTTAGTTTTCGAGGCAAAATTGATTCAGAGGATCAAATCTTCTTCAGGGTGCTGGATCAAAATATAGCCTTAAAACTTTTGAAGAGAATAAATTATTTAATTGCAGCCCAACCTTGTGCCGTCTTTATGCTTTTTCTGAGATGTTGGTACAATTTTGCCTTGCACTTTATTTTTTTTGTGCTTGGATGTGTGAATATTTTTTAAAATAACCATGACAACTAATTGTAACTAGCAATGTTGAATTGAAAAATATTTTATAATACAACCTACCACATACAACATCACAACAAATCTTTGAAATATCAAAGTTTATCATCCTTATTTATTTATTTGTATTTAGCAAATTGAAAACAAAGAAACCCCAAACAGTTTCTTGTACTTATTCAAGAAACTCAATATATTGCAATTTTCCTCAAATGACAGATCATAATATAAAATTTTTAATTTTTAATAAAGTTTTTCATGAACTTAAAATTAAGTTATCTGAGGCTTGTGACATGGCACTTTGTCCTGCTGTAAGCAGCCTGTCAGCAGATGGTAAACTGGGGTCATAAAGGGATGGACATGGCCACCAACAATAGTCGGGTAGGCTGGGTGTTGGTACTTAGGGGCCCAAAGTGTGCCAAGAAAATGTTCCTCACACCATTCTATCACCAGCAGCCTGAACCATTGATACAATGCAGCATTAATCCATGCTTTTATGATATTTACACCGATTTACATTTCTGATCCTGCCATGTGAATACTCCAAGAGAAATCTAGACCTGTCGGATTATATTATTATTATTATTTTTTTAGTCCATTTAGGTGAGCCTGTGTAATGTTTCCTGTTCTCAGCTGACAGGAGTGTCTTCTGGTGTGATTTTCTGCTGCTGTAGCCCATCTGTTTCAAGTTTGACATATCATGCATTCAGAATTGCTCTTTTGCATACCAAAAAAGTTGTTATACGAGTTACTGTTGACTTCTTTTCCACTCATATCAGTCTGGTCAGTCCCTCTGACTTAAGACATCCACAAGGCTTTTTTTTTTTAACCAGAAAACTGCATATTTTCTGTGTTTCAGACCTTACTCTGTAAACTCTAGAAATAATTTTATTGGAAATTCCAAATTCCAGACCAGCCCATTTGGCACCAACCAGCAGGTCAAAGTGCACCTTTCTTCCACATTGCAATGCTTGATTTTAGCTTTAGCAGATGTGCAAATGCTATGTGCATATACTTAAATCTATCCATGCATTACTATTGGCTGGTGAGATATTTGAAGTTGACAGATGTACATAAAAGAGTGCCTGGTTAGTGTACACAAATGTTTCCTTTAGGGTAATTTTAATAGTTTTTAATTTGGCATGTGACTGCAGCCAAAGTAGGCTTCTTACCATAGTATGCTTCATGATAATTTTGTATTATGTCATTTAAACATGATTGATTTTGAAGTTTCTTTTAAGCTTGTTCACAGTACACCTCAATGTGAACAAGCAATAACAAAATATACTTACCAAATTTTTTTGAACACACAAAATCTTTTGTGTATTACTAAACTGGTGTACTTCCACAGCAATCAGATATATTCTTCAGTCGATGTAATCATATAGATAAAAGCAACAACTTAGAGTGACCTTACAATGGATGTTGCACTTGCAAGTTTATCTAAGAACATTACCATGTCTATCCTCACAAGCTTATCTGTTTAGAGCAATAGCCTCTATCAAGATGCAGGAAAAGTGTCCAGCAAAAATGATCTAAAAATTGTGGTTGATCTAAAAAGACCTGAGACCCAAGATCCTTATCCACCAGTGCAGTAGGAGTTGCCCAGAGACCCCAAGAGAGAGTACAACAAAAGCTTTCACCATTTGTTGGATTTTTTTTTATATATATATAAGAATGAGATATAGTGCAGCTTATCTGTAATGTTGAAGAAGGTCTGCATTGTTCTCTGTGAAAAGAAAACCTGGATCTGTCTTATATGGTCAGATGTCTGCAAAGTTAAAGAGCATTATTGATTTTCTATAAAGGCCCTTTGCTCCCCCATCTTTTTTGTCCCTCTGTTTGAGAGGCTTTCACCTTTCTCAATAAACCAGAAGAGCAAGAGCAGAAGAGGCCAGACAGTCACAAGACAATGAAGAAAACTGGCGTAAAGATTTTTGACAGTCACAGATAGATAGAAGGAAAGGGGATGTATTACTTGCTGAAGTGAGGGTGGTGATGTACTGCAGTAAGCATAGAGTATGCCATTGATAGTAGAAGAAGATGCTTAGAAAATTTTAACTCCCACTCACACCTCCAGAGTGGCTTACTAATGGGCTTCCACTGTGTGCTGAAAGGAGTGCTCGGAAAGCTTCTCAGAGACTCTGCAGATGACTGTTTAGAATGTATGTGGTTGCACATATGTGTGTCTTTTGTTGTCTTCTGTGCTTATATCCTTTAATTTTTGCCTGCTGAATCTAGTAAAGCATCTTCAAAAATTAGGAGGATGCTCATTATCTGCCTGTATATATTCTGGAGTCAGAGATATTGAATTGTGCTGTGTTATTCTTGGACTATCTTAGAAGTCCAAGCAGAGTGGGTGTTCATGTGTATAAAAGGGATGAGCGATGCATTTAAGACATATGCATGGGTCAAATGTCTATCCTCTCATGTCTTGGTCTGTGTTTTTTTTCCCATGCAGGGAAAACGCCTGCCTGCCTATCTGTCTGCGGATGCTGAAGAAGGGGAGGTGTCCGATGATGACAGCGCTGATGAAATTGAGGACGACTTCAAGCTCAAGAGCAGTAATGTAAGAGAGAGGAATAAATCTATGAATGATGATGTTCACACACCGAAGCATGAACCCTCAAATTATCATGTCCAAATAGACAAGTTTTTTTTGCATTACTTGAAACCTTCTTGCTTGTTTTCAGTTAGATCCTGTCATAATTTCTTGACTTTTTTTGTATCTATGCACTTAATATATACATCATTATGTTGGTAACAGTATTATAATATGATGATAATATGATTATGAGACTGTTATAATATGATGCAAACTGCATATTTCAGTTCCACATTAATAAGAAAAATAAAATAATGTAATATTACTCAGGTAAAACCACTGTCGATACAAGATATTACTTGGATTTCAGTTGAATTTTGCTTTGGTAATTAACTTGTCATTTCCATGTTATTGCAGGCTCATTTCTACGTTGTTATCACACTGTTACTATATTATTACTGAGCTGTGTGTAGGAAATGTCTCCAGATAAGTTTCTAAGCCACACTTGTTCGTACCATGAAAATCAAATAACCAGGTCAAGTAACATTGATTAATTAGCGATGAACTTAAATTATGTCAAATCATGATGTTGATAAATTTTTTATCTTAATTCAAAATGAATAACAAAAAATAATAACAAAAACAACACCCTGTCAAAAAGCAAACAGGCAAGCAAACAAAAAACAAACAAACAGTTTGCAGTGAATTAATCCCAACCGCCAAGTACAGGCACCATAAACAGAGGTTAGATAATGAGATCTAAATGGTATTGTTGTTCTAGAGGTAATGACTTCAATAATTTTTGCTTGCAAAGTTTTAATGATCGTCATTGTTGTAATGTTTTGGAATAACCGGTGCTTAATCAAGCAGGCGTAGATTCAAGTCAAAAGTAAACAGAATAAAAAATACTTTAAATGCACTTAGTACTCAGCCTGCTAGAAAATATGTCCAAGAATGCCATTAATGCCAGCTTATGATAACTGCTCTTTAGTTTTCCCTGAGCTATTTTCATAGCTATTCTTAATCATCATCATATTGTGATACAATAGTGCCATGGTCCTCCTTACAATGCTTAAAAGAGGACAAGACTCTTCCAGATGGTATAGTTGTGTAACCAAATATGGCATCATTATTCCACATTTAGCTGAGAGGCACGAGGCTGCAGATGCCACTTCAGATGATCATTGCCAATTTAAAACGGGAGATGGCAGGTTTCCACTGATGGGAGGTTTTGTATTGAGCTCATAAAACCAGTTAGCTTTCACAGCAGTCACAGCTAAACATTACAATAATAGTGTGGTGTAAGTTTTGTACAGTAATGATGCATCGGATTTGTAAAAAGGTGACTTGCATGGTCTTGATTACTCAGACTGTTTGTAAATATTTATTTTTATTGTCATTTTGAATGGAATGATGCACATACTGAGCTCCAGATATAATTCACTGAGAAAATTACTCATTCACATTCAGCCATTCATTCAGCAGGTGTACAGTTTTATACAAGATGGAGATGTTTATTCATTATCATTATCGCTTATACACTTCTGACCTGTGGAAAGGAAATCAATACTCCTCAGATATACACAAGATTATATGTGATTATATGCAGTTATCATCTTCTACTTCTATTTCTTGCAAATATATGGCACTCTGTATACAGGTTTGATTTATAGCAGTTTGGTGTTGCAATTTCAGGTGCTTTGCATTAGCGATAAGGTGTGCTCCTGCTTCAAAAAGGCATTAGTCTACACCACACTGAAAGCGTTTTCCTTTTGTCTCTTCTTTCACCTAGGGCAATGGTCACCACCAGGTGGTGGAGTCTCACATCAGAAAGAAACTGGACTCTCTTTTAAAGGAGTCTCGGATCGGAGACAAGGAAGACACTGACAGCTTCAGCATCAGAGCTTTGCTCCGAGCCACACACCAGGGTCTTCAGAAGAATCTGCGGCAGGTAAAGTTCAAGGCGATGTGTGGGGATGAGTATGGAGGAAAGTTATACTTGTTAACAGATGAAGATGTCAGGGTTCCTGGGTCGTTGACCCAGTGATTTCAGTTTGTTCATGTTCAGTTTAGTTCGCCACATTAATGTTCTCACTTCCTGTTGTTTCCCCGTGTCAGCTTGTCTCCCGTGTCATTAGTCAGATTATGTTCAGCCCTGTACTCACCTGTTTCCAATCATTGTCATCATTCAATCTGTGTATTTAAGTTCCTCGGTTTCACCAGTTCTCTGTCGTGTCATTGATGTCGATGTCGTCCCTCCGTCTGTATGTTCAGTTAGTCAGTCAGTCAGTCAGCCAGCCAGTCAGTCCTTTGTTCATTCATTCAGTCAGCCAGCCAGCCATTTCCTCCCTCTGTAGTGTTTGCTCACTCCTTCGGCAAAAAACATCCACCTTCACCTACTTGCCTGTGAGTCCAGCGTTTGGGTCCTCCTTCTCTCATCCACGACACCACCCCTGACAGAAGAGAAGAAATCAAGGGGATACAACTAGGCCATGGGATTAGTCATGGAGGGGGATGGAGAAAATAAAGAGGCAGACTAGTTACTGCACCAAACACACTAACCAAATACATGAAAACACAGAGACACACACATCTGTCTGAAGGATCTTATGTTTCCACCCACGTAATCCAAATTCATCCAAAGGCTGTCAAAACAGACTGAAAGTGATGAGAAACTAAATGTCTGCAGTGTTACTTAATATTTAATTTCCCTGCTTGCCTCTCGTGCTATTTTTAGAAGCTTCAGTTTCCTGACAGCCATTTTAATGTAGTGGGTGTTGTGCATCGGGGTTTCCTATTCATTTTATTCTACTCATGATTGGCTGGTGATACCCTTCACCTCATTTTGTCACCACACATTTTTACTTATTTATTTCTAGGTGTTACTTACTGTACTTTTTTTTTCTTTTTTCCCACCCACTTATCAGTTGTATTGTGCTGTACTGGCTAATGTCTTTTATATGCATCTCTTGAGATTTAGGGTTTAAGTGACTCACTTGGGTGCTAATGTGACTGTTATAAGATTCACACCAAATGATTCTCATGCACAAATCTAAAAAAGTGAACAGAAATATGAAAGCCTCTGAATGCATTTTTTTTTAAATATATATTTTAGAGCTCCAGAGGGGTTCTGAAGAAATCCCAAAGCAGATCGTTCATCACGACACTCAAACAGAAGGTAAGAAGCATAGAAAAGGAGGTGGCTTTATGTGCTTGTTTCTTATTCTGTTTATCTGGGGTCCCAAAATGTAATTCATCTTTGTTCAGCTTCAGGTTAGGTTGTAATCAGTTATTTTCCTTCTTAGAATATTAAACCACTTTCGAATGATCTTTTTTGGGAGGGGAAACTAATATTCAGCAGGATGAGATTTTGTTTTATTTGAATGGCAGACCAAACTTGCCCCAAGAAATCAATGCTGTCTTTGTGCATGAAGGAAAAATGTGCAAGCCTGCACTAAACGGCTGAAATCAATGAGTCTCTTGTCAGAACAGCCAGCCTGACTGAATTCACCCAGGGTGGTGATTTAACATGCTCCATCAGCTCAACAGCAGAGCTGCAGTTTGTTGTATTTATATTGTGTTTTTCTCTTTATTTTGAACCCTCAAATTATCATGTCCAAATAGACATGTTCTTTTGCATTACTTGAAACCTTCTTGCTTGTTTTCAGTTAGATCCTGTCATAATTTCTTGACCTTTTTTTTGTATCTATGCACTTAATATATACATTAAACAATCTGTATCACAAATAGAAATATTGGAGTTGTCTTTCAATGAGTAAAATGAAAGGTGTTCTTGGGTGACTGATTACACTTCCAGTGTGCTTGATCATCTTATTTTCATGTTATTGTCTTTCCCTGTCACTGATGGTTTGCACTTTTTTAACAGCATGCATAATAACACAACATGCTCTCATACGATCCATAATAATGACTATTATCAACATGTTCAGACAATGTTTTGACTGACACAAATATAAAGAAAACAAAATTGTAAAGCTAAAATTGGCTGCTTTTAAGAATAGCTTTTCTTTGCAATTGTTTTTCCATCAAAACACTAGTGACAATATTTAGAAATGTAAATAAATGGCATCTACTCTAACGTCCTTGAAAAATATAAAATTCAAAAAATGCATTTACTTATATTCTCAATGGAAATAATTGGAAGTCGTAGCACTTTTTTAAAATAACAGCTGTGCAATAATAATGGTGGGTAATAGGGTGGAAACAAGAAGGTAATAAGATGAAAATAGCAAGTTATTATCACTTGATTACCAAAAATAATTTCATATTATTAAATAGGTATTATCTTGTACCAACAATATTTGCATCACAGTAATATTACCCATAATATGGAAACCAATATATGCTTATTAGGCAAAACCAGTTAGCAACAGAATATCATTATGTTGGTAACAGTATTATAGCTTCAGTTTCCTGACAGCCATTTTAATGTAGTGGGTGTTGTGCATTGGGGTTTCCTATTCATTTTATTCTACTCATGGTTGGCTGGTGATACCCTTCACCTCATTTTGTCACCACACTTTTTTACTTATTTATTTCTAGGTGTTACTTACTGTACTTTTTTTTCTTTTTTCCCACCCACTTATCAGTTGTATTGTGCTGTACTGGCTAATGTCTTTTATATGCATCTCTTGAGATTTAGGGTTTAAGTGACTCACTTGGGTGCTAATGTGACTGTTATAAGATTCACACCAAATGATTCTCATGCACAAATCTAAAAAAGTGCACGTGAACAGAAATATGAAAGCCTCTGAATGCATTTTTTGCACGAAGCAAACTAGATATAGAATGTTAACTAGTCAGATTTTACTGTAGATATTTTAACTGTCATGTATGGCTGGAGCAGTCAGGAAATGGACCCAAATGCAGACACTTGTGCACGGAAAATAAACTTTGAACGACAGCTTTTCTTCTTGCTAGAGGAACATCCTTCATAACATAAATTTACAGAAAAACAAACCAAAACCCTGAGAATAAAACTAAGAACAAAAAACAGGGCAACTAAAAACATGGAGAGACTCACAGTACATGAGGAAGTATGACATGCCAAACGGCAAAGGAAAACACAGGGCTTAAATACATGCGGGAGTAACGAGGGAATAGGAAACAGGAGGGAAACACAGCTGGGACTAAATAGATATAATAAGACAAGGACACAGGACAAGGACTATCAAAATAAAACAGGAAACACAGGACAGTTGAGGACAGTGCAGACTTCACAAGGGGACATGGTTGACAGGGAAGACAGATCTAAACATAGATACAGAACTAAACCTAAGAACCAGGAATCCAAAAGACACAGATTTGATACTGAGGAGACACAGGGAACATGGAACACAGAACAGTAACCAAGAGACTAGAACCTAAGTAGCAATGAAATCAAAGACTATATAATAATACAAAATATAAAACACTGGGTCACCGACTGTGTGGATCTTCTTATAGTCTCTGTGCTACACCAAGCCTGACTGTGTTAGTGCTGCATTGTATTCACTGTATATAAGAAAAAGACCAGCTCTTCTTCTAGGCAAGAGCTAGTGTTACACAACCTTAACACAAAATTTATACCAGCTCATCAAATAATTACAATATTGCAATGCATTTTAGGAACAACCCTGAAAATGAACATAATTGTTTATCAACACTTCTTTAAAATAGTTTGGAAAAAAAGCCACACAACTTTAAAGCCTTCTTGAAGGTAGTGCTTACCTCAAAGCTGTTATGTTAGACTACATATGTTTTTATTAAGCAGAATTTTAATTTGGTGCAACCTTGCCACACTGTTTGCTCTATTTCATCATCAGAGACAGCTCTCTAACTGATAAGCATCACTTACAAGAAGTGAAACAGAAGCAACTGCTGCTTTCTTTTAGTTGAAAGCTTCTTTTGAAGTCATTTATAGCAAATGCTAATGTAAATGACACTTTATGACACATTAAAAAAAACAAACCCAGAATTTTTAACTCTGGCACTAGAGGAATGGTTAAGCTTAGTTTCTGACATGTTAAATTCTACATAAAGAGAACGGTCCCTGCACACACCATAAACTAGTGATGCAAAGTTTTATGAGTAATCACCTTTATCCTTCGATTAAAGATTTCCATCTTGATGAGAGTAGTCTCATCCATTGAGCACAAGAGGTCATTGAATATTTTAATGAGTATGGAAATTATGTGAATCTAAGTTACGGCCTTTAAACTCGTCATCTTCTTGAACAGTGCTTTTTACCACCATCATCGAAACATTAAATCAACAAGTATGCTTTGGAAAAAAACGGTACTTCCAGCTAACGGTAGCTTAGGAAACTCATAGAATCCATGTTTTTGTGATGGTCTATGCCACTATGTTAGTTTTTTCTTTGTCACATACCTTTGAATTATAATTGTAGATATAAAGCATACTAATATGCATATACAAATTTTAATTTTCTTTATGGTAAATTTCTCCTATAGAGTGTGGCCGACTGTAAAAAAAATCTAGTGAAACTGATTACAATGCTTCTCAGTTCTTCAGCATGATTTCAATTTACCATGCATTTAACGCAAGTTTGTGTCAGTTTTAAGAGGGTGGTGGTTTTTGAAAAGATTCCCTAAACATTTCCACATTCCTCAGTTTGGTTATTTCTCTCTCTCTAGCCATTCGCTTTCTTTTACCTTCCTCACTTTCCTCTACTGCCCACACACATCTACTCTTCATTCTTTTATGCCTCCCTCTTTGCATTTTGTGCACCCTCCCACGTGTGTGTATATATCTGTTCACACATGGGTGCAAGTAATCTGCTGGTAGGCAGCCTTAACCCTGTAATTACTCTTAGAACAGACTAGCTAAACGCACAACAAAACTAAGAAAACAGAAAACAATTTATTCAAAAAAAGTCTCGCAGTGATTGAGTATGCTATGTATGACACATCCACTGGCATGCACAATCACACACTCAAACATACTGCAACAGCCACAGGCTTTATGGATATTAGATATGTTTTTGTTTATACTTTTTATTTAGAGGGCAAACCTTTACAGTAGTGTAATTGTGTGTTTGTTTACATATCTCTGTCTCTTCACTATCCAGAGGCACTCCAAATCCAGGCTGACATGCCAAAGCATGGACAAGGAAGAAGATGGTCAGGAGAGGTCTGGGAGGGAGGCTGGAGGACAGTTCAACAGGTGACCTTTGAACCACTTCATCACAATACTGACAATCTCTGACAGCTGAGAGGTTGGATACTTGCTGACTGCTGGGAGCATGAAACAATCCAGGTCACTGGTAGTGCCATGCAAACACTGAAGCTTCTCCAAACAAATATTGTATGTTTGCTGGAGAAGACTTTGTTTTTGTGGAGAAAAGATTATGTAGAAAGTTTAAGGAGTCAAGTCTGGAGCTACCACCAGCATCAAAGATTTTTTGGGTGACTGTATTTAACAGTCACCCTTTTCCACTTTTCTCAAATTTATCTGTAATGTTGAGCCTGCATGCCCTGCTGTGCAATTATGCCTTCCTTACCCTGATTTTACTGACTTCCTACAAAAGCCCAATAATACCAAGGGTCTAGGATGCATGAAACTGGCGCCATAACAGAATGCATCACATAATAATAATAACAATAACAATAACAACAACAACAACAACAACAACAACAACAACAA